CTAGGGCAGAGTAAAGGGGGAGGAGAACCTCCCTCGACCTGCTGGCCACACTCTTCCTAGTGCACCTCACGATCCCATTGGCCTTCTTGGCAACCAGGGCACATTGCTGGCTCATGGTCAACTTGTCATCCACCAGGACACCCAGGTCCCTCTCCACAGAGCTGCTCTCCAGCAGGTCCGCCCTAAGCCTGTACTGGTGCATGGGAGAGATCTGTCTTCCTTGGAGCTGTTGCCTGTTTTGTAACCTACCGAGGTGGAGTGGGAGGGCACAACTGCCAGGCACAGAACAAGCTGAATCCTTGGCTTCGTTCTGTGCGTTGCTGCCCATTGGCTAGCATGGCAGATCAGCTGCTTAGGACTGCTTGTGTGCTCTCTGCCCATGAGCTACATTGAGCTGCAGCAGGCCATGAAGCTTTAGCATCATCCACTGCTGTGGCTTTGCTGCAGGATCACTGATGATCATGAGTAGTTCATAGGGTGTAACTTAAATGACTACTACCAGATCTGTGAGAAATGGCCGACTGTACTCTGAAGTCCCTTCTCTCCAGGTGCTGATTCCCCTCTTCACAGGGCAGCCACTGCCCTCCGAGAAGCTCCAGGAGGTTATGGAAGGGCTATCCACTTCCCTGAAGCAATTTGAGGAGAGGTTTCTGAAGGACAAGGCTTTTATCGTCGGGAGTGAGATCTCTCTGGCAGATCTTGTGGCCATTGTGGAGCTGATGCAAGTGAGTGCTGGAGTGTGGTAAGGAAGTCCCAGCACAAGGGGAAAACAGATGCTGCTGGGCATGGAGGGGTGCAGCGTGTGGTAACACTTCACTAGAAAGAGGAGTGAGTGAGGGCGTATCTCAGCAGAGCTGGTCTAAGACAATGAGTAGAATATGGGAGTAGGTTCAGAAAACCAGTTAAAGAACAAAAAGCTGGCTGCAACAGATCTGTTTTGTTTCTCTTCTCTAACAATACTTCTTTTTCTCTTCATCCTTTATTGTGACTTTATTTTTAACCTCCAGAGAGGGAGGTAGTGTAATTGAGAGGCGATAGCAGACAGATCTGATGAAATAAGAAAATCCTATAGAAATATTTTTATCATACAAGAATATTCTTCTTCAGATGGTACTTGCCCATGTGCCACATCTGGAAGTTGCAAGACTGAATCACAGACAGGGGCAATCAAATTAAGAGTGTTACAAACTGGTTGTTCTCTGCCAGACCATCAGGGCCTGGATCCTGCAGCCCAGAAGTGATTCTTTGTCCCAGTTTTGTATCCCAGAGACTGAAAAACAGCAGTTCAACTTCTCTGCAGCATTGTTTTCCAGAGAATGGCACAGGCAGAAAGTAGAAGGGGGTATATAATGTTAACTAAGAGATCAGTTCAGTTAAACGCTTAGCGTTTTGTGCTCTATAACATTTTTGTGCTATAGAACATTTTTGCTATATAACATCACACTCCGTACTGCGGGCTGTGCAGTTGTCCCTGGAACTGTCAGCCCATAACGTCTTCAATGCTGTAGCTGAAAATCACTCACAGTAAGTGGTAGTCAGCTCTGCTGCTCATAACAGCTGTTCTGTTACTCAGGAGTTGACTTGAAAATAAAGGCTAGCTTCTGTGTCCCCCAGACAAACACACCCAACCAGTCCTAGTGCTCCTCTATGAGCTCTTCATATTTTTCCCCTCTCTGTACCTGCAGCTACACTTGGTGCCTGCTGTCTTGGTGAAGAAGTGACTGCCTAATGCCTCACTGTTGCTCTCTCCCCTTTTCTGCAGCCTGTTGGTGTTGGTTGTGATGTCTTTGAAGACAGACCTAGGCTGATGGAGTGGCGCAGGCGGGTGGAGGATGCGGTGGGGAAAGAGCTTTTCTTCCAAGCCCATGAGATGATCCTCAATATCAAAGAACTAAGCAACATTCAAATTGATCCACAGCTGAAAGAGCATCTGGCACCTGTGTTGATGAAGATGCTGAAATGAGTTAACCTATCTTACCATTTTTCCTGCCCTTTGTTTTTTAACTTCTTCTCTGACCTCCAGTTCTACATGTAACTGGAAAGAGCACTGTAATTCTAACACAGAAATTGCAGAGTGTTCCACCCCCTCCCCCAGAACCAGGCCTTTCCTGTATCTTTGGGGGCGGAAGCTGGGGAAGGTTTAAGATCTGAAACTAGTATTAAATTTATACAGAAGGCTGAGGCCCTACACATCACTTAACGTGTGCATCTGGGTTTTATTTCAGTGTCAGTCTTCTCAAAGATGGTAGAGACACAAACAGTATTTCCTGACGAAATCTGAGCCAGCCTACACACTGGGAACATTAAAAAACTGTATAGGATGAGCATTGTTTTCATGTGTTTTTAACATTTGCAGCTCCTTCTCAAGTGGCAAGCACTGCAAAGTGTGCCTGATCCTCACCTTCCCAGCACATGTCTATGCAAACAAGTACAGCACAAAACTGCAGGCAGTCACAAAAGTGAAAAAAAGACACTGAAATTTTTTTTTTAAGTTTCTTACTGCTGAGGCATCTTGCTTGGTTGTCCAGGTACATTCCACACTTCTTCTGTTTGCCTTTAGGTTCCTGGGAGAAGTTTCTTCGTATTCGTCTACAACTGAGAATCTTCTTAATTCTTCAGTTTAACCACTACTCTTGATTTCTGAAAGCCTGGGTTTTGTTGGAGCTTGGTGAGCTGGTACACAGGTGGCAGGGGCTGTTCTTGGAGTTTCGTGCAGTAAAGACCAAGCCACTTCAAAAAGCTGAGGGTGGCCATAGCTTTCAAATAATCACCTGCCTAAAATACTCTGTTGATATTATATAGGGAATACACTGAAAGAATGCATTCGCAGTGATTTCTTGAAAGAGAACGTAATAGCAATCATTTTTTTCTGTGGTGATACTGTAATAGCAATCCACGTTTCTCTTAGAAAATGCAGAGGGGGAATAAATCTAGACATGCTCTTCTGAGACTATTTTGCATGGAATTTCACCAAGTAAGTCACCCTGTGCAGCTGAAGTAATGAGAGATTTTGTGGCATTGAGCAACATATGCATCACAATAAAAGGGCAGAGTTGTTTTGGAGCTTTTGGGCTCTTTTTCTTGGCTGTGTCTATTTCTGGTTAGCTGTAGCTCAAAATACAAAACCCTTTTGTACTGCAGCACAATTTATGAGAGAATCCAACCATTTTTTCAGCTGGTGGAATATAAATCTCTGCATAGTTCATTCACGAGTAGTTGTTTCCTTTGAACCTTACCCTGAAATCCTTGCCCAAGAACTCTTCCTGTAAGGAGTAAGAGAAAATGAGTAAATAATTCAGGAATTGCTTCTCTTGCTAGTCCAGTAGCTTCTTTTCTTTCCAGTACTACCACGTCTTGGCTCGTGATGTTTCTGCTGGTAAGTTCTATAAAACTTGATGTGTTCTGGTGATGTTTTTCACTAAGGTTTCAGTTCTAGGTACTACTGATTTAGTCCAGAGCCTAGGGAGATCTTTAAATTTCCTGTCTGGAAAGAGAACTCTGTTACGTACTTCAGCTTGCATTAGTAGGAAATTTTGTTTTGTTATTATGTTCTCTATAAAGACAAGAGACCTGACTGAAGGCATTCTCTTTTCTTGAACCAAAAATACTAGAAATACACATGTTTATTCCCACCCTTGCTTTCTTTTCTTCCCAAACAGTATCTGAATAACATGGGTTTTATTGACGTTTTATTCACAAAATATTGTCTACAACCAAGTTAAATTTTAATTGGGAAGTGGTTGATTTTTTGATAATTTTGAGAGTGGAATTGCTAAGTGGATGATGACACGTCCAAATGTCTGCAGGAGGGAAAAAAACTACGAAGATTTTCCAACGGCTGAACATGTTTGAGAGTGCTGTGCTGTCCTCTCTTGTTTGTATGCTCATCCCCCTACAAGCATTTTAATTGCCCTCTCCAAGGCAGAAACAATGAAACAAATGTCTTTAATAAAAACTCTGGGAGATGGTGAACAATCTGCCATTCACATGGTGAACCATCAAGAGCAAAGGACAGCACATGTCATTAAAGATGTTTGTGACAGCTCCATGTCCTGTTTTAATTGCTGACACCTGGTACTTGAATCTTTTCTCCTTTTGGAGGCCCTCTGATATGCTGGTTTCTTGTCATGTGGAGTTTTTTGACCTTGAAATTGGAAGAAATTTTTTATATTTGAAGGAATGAGAAATAGAAAAATGGATCCTAAATGGCATCTTACCTGGAGGCAATGACTCCCAGCAATCAGGCAGCGATGGACTTGCACCAGGGGTTTGCTACGTGGCTGAGTACCCCCCCGGCCTTCGCTTTGGCAAACTCAGGATCATATCTTCTATTTACAAGATTTTATTTTTCTGTAAATTTATCCTGAGATCTAACAGTTTTCCTGGGTTATTTCTTCTGCTGTTTTTCTGGATTTGAAGGGAGTGTATGTATCACCACCGCAAGCAGCCACCCCCTGCCAGCCTGCCATGCCCCGTCTCCTCTCCAGTTGGGTCTGTCTCCTCACAATCTCTCTCCTAGAAATCTGGCCTCTTCACTGGCTGGTTTATACACACAGCTCCTCGTGCCAGTATTGTCTTCACTAGCAGTAAAGGCCAAGCAATTCCACCAGCAAAAAAATGAGCAATTCCATCAGTTTTCATTAGGGTTGTCTAGAACTGTAGAAAACCAAAAAGTCACATTATACAGGGCCAGTTTTCACAACAGTGCTGTGCCTGGAACAAGATGACCTTTTAATCTAGCTGGTTCATAACGTTTTGCTGTAAATGAGCACATGTCGCCCTCACTGGACAGCAGCTCGGCTTCCGAGAGACCTCTGATCTGTAGATTAGAATGTCCCTGAGACCCCAGCCTGCTGAGGTCACTTCTATCAACTTTGGAGCTCAAAGTCCTGATTGCAGAAGCTGGTTTGGTGATTATATATTTTGGATAAAACAATGAGCCTCTGTGCTTGCCTTTTAATTTCTTGTAGTGCTGGTGGTTCTGAGAAACCGCTGGTCTTCCATTTTTAACCCTGCCTGCACAGATAGACATGGAGGTGTCTGTTGCGGTGACCAGAAATTACTTCCTACAGCAGTAAGGACCATAGAATCATCGAACAGTTTGGGTTGGAAGGGACCCTTAAATGTCTTCTAGCCCAACCTCCCTGCAATGAGCAAGGACATCTTCACCTCGATCAGGTTGCTCAGAGCCCAGTCCAACCTGGCCTTGAACCGTTTCCAGGGATGGGGCAACTCCCACATCTCTGGGCAGTGTTTCACCATCCTCATTGTAAAAAATTTCTTAGAATCATAGCATGGTTTGGGTTGGAAGGGACCTTAAAGATCATCCAGTGTCAACCCCCCCTGCTGAGCAGGTACCTCTTCCACCAGACCATTTTGCTCAGAGCTCCATGCAACCTGGCCTTGGACACTGCCAGGGAGGAGGCAGCCACAGTTTCCCTGGGCAACGTGTTCCAGTCTTTGACCAATTTCTTCCTACTGTCTAATCTAAATCTGCTCTCTTTTAGTTTACAGCCGTTCCCCCTTGTCCTATCACTACACACCCTTGTGAAAAGCCCCTCTCCATCCTTCCTGTCGGCCCCTTCAGGTACTGGAAGGCTGCTCTAAGGTCACCCCAGAGCCTTCTCTTCTCCAGGCTGAACAGCCCCAACTCCCTTAGCCTGTCCTCATAGGAGAGGTGCTCCAGCCCTCTGATCATCTTCGTGGCCTCCTCTGGCCCCGCTCCAA